TGCTAATGTTGTTACTCCCCTAAAGAACAGACAGCCACAGAGGCAATGGAGAGTCCAGACTCCAGAGTGTCCCAGTTCTTACTGAGCCATGGCTTCGTACTCTGTTCCTGACATCTGGCAGTTGATCACAACAAGCCTATCAGAGCAATGGAAGGTAGGATCACACTATCTTCAGAACTGCAAACTCTGTCTACAAACTGATATCTAAGGGCACCCGCAATGGTTAGAGCTAGCTACTAGCTCTAAGCTAACTTCTCGTATAGTGCTAACTTTTAGCACATAGTTTTTAATATGGATAAGCCCACGTGACATTCTTACGTCACCTTGAAATGTGTGTAAGAGCTTAGCTCTTGATTAAAAGCTAGCTTTTATCTCTCTTCTATTAAAATATGAGAAATATGCTTAGAGCTAGCTTAAGAGCCGGTTACTGGAGCTGCCCTAAGTCTTGTGATCAGCTGGCATTCTGAAACACAAGCACTCACTCAAACTGTGTTCCTCCATTTGCGCTGAAATCCATGATTCAGTCTCACTCGGGAGCTGGACTATTCTAGCATCTGTGTGCATGTGCAGAGTATCATTTGTGTGCATGTGGAGTCCTCAAGTATGAGCCTTCTTCTAAGTAGTAGTAACATGTAAAAAGCAGTCTATCAAGTCACTCGTCCTCCTCAGGCTGCCCCAGATGTGCATATATCTGAAGACTAAGGTCTTCAACCTGCTTAGTCTTAAACGGTTAAACCTGGCAGGTTTCATTCTCTCGTTGTGCCACCGTTTGTGTCACCTACAGAGCACCCTCAAAGCTTCATGAAAAATTCATCGACCGACAGGATCAACGAGCGCCTGATTAGTAAGGATGGGACGCTCACCCTGGGTGTCAAGTGTCAGCAGAATTGACCAAGGCAGGGAGCAAGATGGATGATGAGCAAGAGGGTCGCTCTGCAAGTAGAGAAAGATGGTTGTTGCCGTTTCTCCTTTTTCTCATCCTGCTAGTGGAGAGCAGAGGTGTATCTTGCCGTGTTCCCCTTTTTCTCATCCTGACACGCATTTGTGAGATTTTGTCTCTGTTTGCGAGCTGTGATTTGTAAAACTAAGCAATCACATTTCTAGCTGATGCAAGATGCGTTTGTGGAAATTTTCTTCTTCTAGATTAATGATGCGAGTCATTCTTTTCCAAACTTATATCGGGGCCGGGAACACATATATCGGGGACGGGAACACACGTCGGGGATGTATTCCCCGCTCGGGTTCGGAGATGGGGAGACCATGTCTCCGCGAGCTTTCGCTGAGACAGGGACAGGGAAAATCTTCCCTGTCAAGAACGGGGATGGGAAGGCGATACCTGACGAGAGTTCTCCGTTGCCTTCTTCAGTTCCCCGCAGGCCTAGAGTGAACCAACCCCAAAAAAATTTGCTTGGGCGTAGTTGAACTGCTATTACAACCAACTAATGCAATAAAATTCCCCTCAAAAAAACACTAATGCAATAAAATCTGTTCCTCCTTCTAACTCTGGTATTTATTCAATATACAAATTAGTTTCGCTAGTCAAAGTTATTAATGGGTATAAACAATTATACATTTTCAAAAAAAAATTGAAATAGTTAGTTTTCTTACCTTTCAAATACACGGTCTTGGAATCCTGGCCTTACTAGGGATACAGGTTTTATTTTGTATTATTTTCCAAATTGTTTGTACACATTTTATTTATTTTATTTTAGATTATTAAAAATCAGTTCGTTCTTTGTTCACTGGACTAGACAGCGGCAACGGCACATTCCTTGCAATTCAATCCGAGTAATTCAATTATAAAAAGAATCCGGAGGAATTCAAAAGCAACCAAAACCCGTTTTATATAAAATAAAAATAAAAAACAACCAAAGCTGCGCAAAAATCCAATTAACAAATGAGCACAACTCGCGGAACAAATATCGTCAAACAGTTAAACAAACAAAATAAAATACTCTACATAAAAGATTGGAGATGATGTGTGGTGCTCAGATTCTATGGGTGTATAGGAGTCGATCACGGGGGATCTCCCATCAGGACGAGGAATGTTTTTATAATCACTGCACCCAACAACCCCATTATTTCTAAAAATCTGTAAGAACAAGAAAAAAGTAAAATCCAGATCTGACGAAAGAGAGCTAAGCAAATAAGGAGAGATTTGGAGGCGAGCGTAACCCGGCATCCGACTGCGTATCGAACGGACGAGGGCTCTAAAGCGCCACCGGCTTGCGTCTCGGGAGCTTCGCAAAGACGGAGACCGGGATCCGCCGACGGCGAACGGCGGACGGCCATTGGGACAGTGCTCCCCGAAAACAACGGCACCAAAACCACGCATCACCCAGGAGTAATAAACAGCGAGAGAAAAGGAAACAAAACAGCTGGTTAAATGAAGAAACGAGAAGGCTTTCAGATCGAAGAAGACAGCGGCAGATCGAAGCAGGCAGGTGCAGGAGGTAGAACAGGCGGCTGCGCGCCCGTGGCGATGTTGGGGCCTTGGGGGTGGAGGCGCCAGGGTCCCTTTATATTGGGGTCGAGAGACCGTGGCGTGGCAGGGACCGAGTGGCGAATGAAACCCTAGCTTGTGTGCACTGGGCCGCAGCCCATGGGCTTGAGTAGAAGGAGCTGGGTGACCGGCCTTCCGGAAGGTTGGGCTCCATTTGATAGTGGTGGTGTGGTTCGGATAAACTAGAAAAACCAGGCGTGGCCTTGCATGAGCATTTTTCGTATGCTCACGTACAAAAGTTTTTAGTACAAAAAATGTACATATGAGTATGTGAGAACTCATGTACAAAAGCTTTTGGTACACACTCAATGGCTACTACTCCCTCCGTTCTCTTTTACGTAACACATTAGGTTTGTCTTAAGTCAAATATTACTATCTTTGGCCACCCATTTTGAAGAAAAAATTATAGTTTTACAACCTATTAATCATATAATGTGAAAATGTTTTTCATATCGTGAACCTAAAAACATAAATCTTATATCATGAATCTATATCATTTTTAGAAAATTGATGGTCAAAGATACAAATGTTTGAGTTAAGACAAACCTAATAGGACATATAAATAAAAACAGAAGGAGCTTGAGTCCAATGTTATAACAAAGCACTTTCACACACAAAAGAAAAAAAAAAGAAAAAGAAATATGAGCGTAGCTCTTGCTATATCAATCATATAATACACAAGAGAAGTCTCAGATTAAGCAAAAGCTATTATAAAAATTGACTTTAGTAAAGTAGTCATTGTACTTATAGCACTTCGGTAGACATGGGAATAAACATGTGGATGTATAGACATAACAAAAGCAAAGTCGTCTTAAAATATATTCATTTCTTGTCTTATGTCATTGATAATCAAGGAAAATACACAGAGACAGATTGCAAGGTCTTCATTTGTAGCTTCAGTACAGTAGTATCCAATAGGTCTTGATTTAAATAAAGCGAGTGAAATGATGTATTTGACAGCTTGTTTCCCAGCACAGTATTACAAACATGCCGAGCTCGTGCGAAGTCAACTCTTAGTCATCAGGTTGTCCTGTTCTTCATTTGCAGTAGTTGTTGTTATCAGCTTATCTGTGCAGGTCATCTCTTGGTTTGAGCATGCACCCATAAAACAGTCATATTTAAATGAATCTTTGTGAGTGCGTATTCATATGTGGTCATGATAATATGAAACACGTGGATTCAGAAAACAATAATGCTAATTGAAGATAAAACAAAAGATAACAGTGGCACTATTTCATATTTGCCTACTTATCATTTGCTTACTAATTTAATTAATTATTTCCTACTTATAATTTGCTACTAATTTGGTATTTTGAACAATTAAACACTGGAGTTTCTCGAACCAAGTTGTAATGTCAATGTTATCTAGACTTGTGGAATCTTAAAACATATTTATGTTCATTGAATTTCATATTTGACATGTTTTTTGCATCAATTACTGGTGTTTTTCATGCTAATTTTATAAAAACGCTATCTGCCATAACGCCACTCTAGCACTGCTATAGCTTCGTAGCTGCTAAAAATAGTTGCCGCTATTTTCAATAGCCCGCTATTTAAAACTATGGTGCCGGCACTGGCCTCGGTGGAAGACGAAGAAACTGCCAAACTGGTGCCCCGTGCCCGGTTCATACCCAGGCCGCACGTAGATCGTTCGTCGATCGACAATGAACTGAACCTGGCCCTGAAACTTTCGCCCTGTTCGTTTGGGCTTGTTTGGTTGATAAGCCATAACTAAAAGTACTGTTAGCTGATTTAATGTGAGAGAAAAATATTGTTCGTTGACCCAAACGAACAGGGCGTTTGTTTGGAACTGAGATCGACCAATCACGGTCAGAAGAATGGGTCCGAAGAACTCTCTAAGACTGTCTCCAACAAGGAACCCATATGGCACACAAACCCAAAATAAGTAGTAAGAGATCCAAAATTAGCCTCCAACAGAGTACTCTATACAGGAGGCCTATTTTGGATTGCCTGAGAGGCACAACCCAAATATGAGCATCATCTCTTCTGGAAACTCATTTGCAGAAATGATTCTCTTTTGGGTCTTGTTGTTGAAGAAGATACCGAATATGTATTAAACATTTTGTCTGTAGCACTATCAAAAGACGAATAGATCTTGTATTTTTTTTTTTTTTGTTGAGTGGCAGTCACCTAACTGACAGACGCATGCATGGGCCTGCTACAGTTTTGCTTCAGCCTACTGCTGGCCGGTGCTGAACCGAGTCCGAGGAAGGAGACGGCAACCAAAGCAAGAGCGAGGGAAGGCTCTTCAATTCGAAAAGTTTGGCTCGTCCACCAAAACTGTTCCTATCGCTTTGTAAAAAAAAGACTGCAATTATTTCAGCACAGCAGTACAACAAGACACAAAGATCGTGGATTCCTGATGTCGTTTGACAACGAAGGCGACGCAGTACGATGTTTTTCTCGAATCAAACTCGAACAGGCATATCAAAACTCATGCTGCAACGACACGTTTCCATCCCATTTTTCCCCGGCGTCACCGCGTCATCATCGTCCCGGCCGCGACGACGCCAGCGACCTGCTGCGCCGGCACAGCCGCAACTGCCCGCGCGCGTGCCAGCGCGAGCAGCAGGACGGCCTGCCTCTGCGCGCCGCCCAGCCGGCGCCGGAGCGCGCGGGCCTCCGCCTGGAGCCGCGCGTTGTCGAGCCGCACCGCCATCGTGCGCGCCGTCGCAGCGCCCGCCCTCGCCGCCAGCGCGCGCCGCTGCGCACGGAGCGCCTCCGCGGTCCGCCCGAGCTCCTCCGCACGCTGCCGCCGCCGCGCGCGCGACCGCCGCGCCGACTCCCGGTTCGATATCTTGCGCTTCAGCCGCCGAAGCCGCTCCTCCTCCTCGTCGCCGTCGGCGGCGCCGGCGCCGGCGATAATGCCAGCCGCCGGCGCCGACACGGCGCCTACGACGGGCGACGTGCAGCTCGAAGCGCCGCCAGCCGTCGTATCAGTATGGAAACCGAAACCACCACCAGCATCGCCGGCCGTCGTCGCTTCGAAATCGAAATCGAAATCGAAATCGAAATCGTCGAAGCCGAAGCCGACGGCGTCCATGTCGTCTGGCAGCAGCGGCAGGCCGGCGGCGAAGTCGAGCTGCATGGCCTCGTCGAGGGACAGCATTTGCACCGGCAAGCGTAGATGACTATCTGATGTCGATGCTGTCAGTTTGTGTCACCAACTACAGGGCGGTTGAGGATGAAGAAGCCGGTCGAGCTGCTTCCGAAATATATAGGCGAGCGAGGCTCGCCATCACTGGCCAGTGACACTGACGCTGACGGCACCCTGGACCTGCGATTCTCCTCACCGAACGCGCCCCGACCAGTGCGAGTGGACTAGTGTCGACTTCGCTTTCGTCTACCTCTCGACACTTGGCTCGACTCAGAAGCCCTATTCAAAAGCGTTGCTACCGCGTGCCTGTTGCGCGATGGACGATGGGGCCATGGCACCGGGCTGAAGCATGGCGGTTCGCCACGTGGACGAATAGAAGAGTACGCTAGCTGCTGGTGCTGATGTGCTGATGTCGATCTGAAGAAGGAACCAGGAAGGACGAAGAAAGGCGATCTCGAAAGTCTAGTTCTTTATATATTTATATATTTGCTCTCGATCGATATATATATATATATATATATATATATATATATACACACACACTACCCTGTAGCTGGCTACAAAATAACTTATTCTGTAGCCACTTTGAATTACGATAATTACTATGTTAATTTACGAGATTATAGTAACTCCTTACTAAGTGGTTTACAATAACGTATGATAAATATCCCCATGTGCTATAATAATCCAACTATCGTAAATATATATTGACATTATAGTAAATTAGTATATAAAATTATCGTAAATGGAGGTGGCTACAGAATAACTTATTTTATAGCTGGCTACTGAATATACTCTATATATATATATATATATATATATATATATATATATATATATATATATATATATATATATATATATATATATATATATATATATCCATTTTTTGTGTTACTTTAGTAGATTTTACTCTGTTTATCCTTTAGTTTAATTCTGTTTGAATTTCGCTGTATTCTGTAATGTAAATAGAACGAAATTTATTGTGTAAAATGAAATTTCAATAAAATAAAAAAGGAGTCTTCATGTCCCGTTATCGAGGGCCTCGTTTAAAAAAATACGCCGTCTGGGAGCTTTACCGGGACTCACTAGAAAAACGCCTAAATCCGGAAGTAATCAGAAAAAGAAATTCCATTCCGGGGAAAAAGAGCAATATCGTATTTGTCTTCAAGAAAAACAGAAATTGCATTTTCATTATGGTCTGACAGAACGACAATTACTTAGATATGTACATATTGCTAGAAAAGCAAAAAGATCCACAGGTTAGGTTTTACTACAATTACTTGAAATGCGTTTGGATAATATCCTTTTTCGATTGGGTATGGCTTCAACCATTCCTGGGGCCCGACAATTAGTTAACCATAGACATATTTTAGTTAATTAATGGTCATATAGTTGATATACCAAGCTTTCGTTGCAAACCCTGAGATATTATTACTACGAAGGATAACCAATGATCAAAACGTTTGGTTCAAAAATATATTGCTTCATCCGATCCAGGCAAATTACCAAAGCATTTGACGGTTGACACGTTACAATATAAAGGTCTAGTAAAAAAATCTAGTTAGGAAGTGGGTCGGTCTCAAAATAAATGAGTTGTTAGTTGTAGAATATTATTCTCGCCAGACTTGAACTTAACGAAAAAAATAAAAGGTTCATAGAATTTTTCCCCTTCCCCTTTCCCCGAACTAAATCGACCTAAGGCTCTTAATTCGTATTTTCCCATTCACCTAGCAGAAATAGATTAACCCTAGGATCCTTTTTTCTTTTTTGTTATTTCCTCGATGTGTATTTTACATACCATAGTAATTTGCTATAGAGAATTTCTATTAATTAAAGGTATTATTGTTGGAATAAATTGTTATTTAATTTGATACAATGTGATAGCTAACATTGATGAATTAAGAGAAACGGAAAGAGAGGGATTCGAACCCTCGGTAAACAAAAGTCTACATAGCAGTTCCAATGCTACGCCTTGAACCGCTCGGCCATCTCTCCTACATAATCTTATTATGGAAAATAAACCGAGTGAATAGCGAGTTTTCGTATTCCTGCAGTACAGGTACAGCCACAACGGCTCGGGAATTCCATGGCTCTATTGGATTGTATGGAAAAATTCCTTTTCATCTAAGTGGAAGGATCCTGTATTTTTTTACTAGGAATTCCGCTCCCTCGAAAAGTTTTTCTTTGGGGAAAACCAAAATAAAAAGAGAATGGAAGAATTCTTCTTATTCCATAAGAAAATAAAGGAACCCTAGAATTCTATTTGCATAAGGTACATTACGCCATACAATCTAAATATAAAAGGGGTATGGGGCAATTAATTACTTTGAAAACGCGAAATAGCTGATGAGAGAAGTTGTTGTTGAGAAATAGGAAAGTGGAATGAAATCCAGTCTTAGTCAAATATTTCATATCTCTTCTTGTCCAAACAGAAGGAAAAGGAGACAATTTGAGCTGAGCGGAAAATCCATACCTCTCTTATCCATTTAGAGCATATGGATCGATTTATAAGAATCGAATGTTTTGTTTTTATGTTATTTTGTGATAGAATGAAAAGAATTCTATATAGAATGGGTTGGGAATTATGCCTAGATCCCGTATAAATGGAAATTTCATTGATAATATATATATATATTATCTAAATAAATATATCGTCAACTAAAACTAGTCCTTGATTAGGATGCAATTATTTGAGCTTATTAGTTAGAGCTTTTGCTCGATCGAGTCTTTGTGTGTATTCAATTGGTCCTTTATGGATTTGGCCTTGCCTGATTTCGATCTTCTCGAAATATAAAGGCTGAAAAGCTACGTGGCCACCATGGATCAGATGAACTCAGTGCATGGAGGCAACTCCGAAGGCGGTTTCGAACTTTCGATCACCTCAACTAGCGCCGAAAGATGTGCAGCCTGTTCGGGAGGCCGTATCGTATCGTGGATTATTTACTGTTGGCTGGTTTGGTGTGAGAGAAAAACATTGTTCCCGGCTGGAAATTTACGATCGTTTACGAGCAAGCGAACAGGCTGGTGATCCGATTGCACTGATGCAACAAAAAAAAAAACTCTTTTATATTATATATGATATTTTAGGACTGCCTGAGAATGACCAACCATTGCATGGTGAAGTGTGATCAATGACAACGATCGTGTGTAATGTCATGTGTGTTCTTCTGTTAGAACGTTTGCTTGCTTGCAGTTGCAGGAGCTATATATTGTGGCATTGTCGCTGAACGTCATCGAGACAGGATAAGAAAAGCGGGGTTTTATTTGTGGAAGTGGAATGTTACTCCCAGATAAAAGTCTGCATTCCGCACCTGTTCCATGCCATCTGTTCCCCTTTTACTGCTGCGTGTCTGCATACCTACAGCTAACACCTGGGTGGTGAACGAGAGAAACAGAGGCGGTGACGTCGACACGCGCGACTGCCGACCGGTGGTCGACGACGACGACGACTGGTGGCAGAGCACGCTCCATGCCCGTGCTCCTGCAGAATAAAGGAAGCCAGGGCCACGAGGGGCCAGCTCGTGTATTCTACGTGTGGCGCTGCGTTCCCCGGAGGTCGGATTCGGATCCTCCGTCGGCCCGGCTGGCTGCCTCCTGGCCTCCATGGGGATGGGCCTTTCCCCCCCTTTCGGCTTTCCAGGTGCCGCTCCGGCACGACACGCGTCTCCGGTCAGTTGCTAGTACATGGCGACGACGACGCTTCAGCCTTCAGCGAGGCTTCCGGGGCTGGGTGCCTGGGTGCTTTCTTTGCAGCAACGCAACTACGCAAGCACACGATGCATGCATGTCCCAGCAAGGCAGCAAACCTACACCGCCCGGCCGCCCCGTCCCCGTCGGTCAAGTCGGCAGTGCACCTCTTTTTGTTTACTATCGATCGGTGCAGTGAAGACCGGGTCAGATGCGAATTTAGAGATCCTAATAATGTCATAGCTAGCACTTAGGATCCCATTCCTACAATGAGACTGTGGATTCTATAAAAGTAAATATAATCTCTATTCTTGATAAAAGAAAAGAGAGGTGTTTAAATTCTATTCTCGTAGTAGATTTCAAGTAGATAGTTGGTTTTAAATCTCATTTTCATTTTTATATCTCATTCTTTTCTTATAGTTGAATTCTAGAACCTTATCCTAGAATCCAAGACCCTGTTCAGCTACAAGAATAAGCGCATTCGCTTATTCTTCCAACCGAAAGGGGCCCAAGTGTTTGGATCCCATTCTTATTTTTCTATCTCATCTTTCGTAAAAGATCCAAACGAAGTCTCAGATGTTCCTAATTCCTCTTACCAAATTGGAATGATCCATCTCCTACTTTTTTCTAAAAAAGTGTAGAATTTAAGTTATGTAACTAGGTAGCATACCCGTGCGTTGCTACGGGATAACTAAACTTTTGTACTAAAAACACACGGATCGCACGATAAGATAACAATACTGTAAAATTAAATACGCACGTTAATCAAAAAGCAAAGTTCGTGAAATTAACAGTCACGCACAGCATGGCGTCGCAGACTCACAAATTGTATAGACCTTTCCGCACGACATGGGGGTTGTTGGCGTTCGCATTGCCTTAGGTCATTGCGTTACGGGTCAGCTCCGCCGCGCGCGTGTCGCCGTCCCCGTCACCTCCGTGGCACATTAGCTAGTGCCACCGCGCCTCAACCATGCGCACCGCACGCCACCTTCTTTGTCCGCTGCGTAGGCCACACCTCGCCTAGCTGTGGGCTGAGATCATGTGCCGTTGGATCAAGTTCACAGGGTGCGGATGGTTGCCATCAAATTTGGTTTAGATAAGAATTATATGAGAACAGGTTCCTCTAAAAGAAAATGAGAATAATGTTACCACCCAGTAATAATTGGGGAAAATAATATACAGTAAAACAGGTATTACAAGACAGGCTTATAGCGCAAGGAGTGAATTACTACGGTGTCAAAACAGATATTAAGGGTAAAATTCAGGTGAATTATTCAACAATACATACAAGACAAGCTTAGATGGCAGGTCGGCATGCTACATCAAACTCATGCCGTAATTTAACTGAAAAACAACATATTCCCAGACGATGAATCAATACGATGCTCTGAAACCAAAAGCCCACAATTCAGCTGAAACCATGAGGATAGCTACAAGGCCTGTCCTTTAAAAGCATGACGGTATCTGTAATAAAAAAAGATAGATATCAGTATAATGCAAAGTGTCAAATATGAGGCACATGCAACTCTTTTTTTTTTTTTTTTTTTTTTGCTATCGATCGGTGCAGTGAAGACCGGGTCAGATGCGAATTTAGAGATCCTAATAATGTCATAGCTAGCACTTAGGATCCCATTCCTACAATGAGACTGTGGATTCTATAAAAGTAAATATAATCTCTATTCTTGATAAAAGAAAAGAGAGGTGTTTAAATTCTATTCTCGTAGTAGATTTCAAGTAGATAGTTGGTTTTAAATCTCATTTTCATTTTTATATCTCATTCTTTTCTTATAGTTGAATTCTAGAACCTTATCCTAGAATCCAAGACCCTGTTCAGCTACAAGAATAAGCGCATTCGCTTATTCTTCCAGCCGAAAAGGGCCCAAGTGTTTGGATCCCATTCTTATTTTTCTATCTCATTTCTCATCTTTCTTAAAAGATCCAAACGAAGTCTTAGATGTTCCTAATTCTTCTTACCAAATTGGAACGATCCATCTCCTACTTTTTCTAAAGAAGTGTAGAATTTAAGTTATGTAATAAAAAGAATGTAATCATAAAAGAATGTAATTTAGCCTTATCCTAGATGGAGTGAATAGATATGTCAATGGGTACCCCGAAACCCGACTACCCCACGGGTTTTACTCGATAAAGTGACGGGTATGGAAAGAATTTTTCACCCGCGGGTATACTAATGGGTAAAAATTCCTACCCATCAGGTATGCGGGTACGGGTACAAGAACATGCTACACACACCTGTGTACCCACAAATAATTTATACCCGTCTTAGCAACACATATGTATTCATTAATAACCAAGAAATACACATATATCTAATATATCTATGACTATTAGACTATCAATTTGTGTAGTTTTGTTGCTATGTTGTAATTGTTGATTTCTATTGAACAAATATTTGGCGACATATGGCTCTAATAATATAATATATTCATGTCTTTTGGTTTATAGCGGGTATGCATTCGGGTACGAGTTACCCGTCTGGTATTTTTATCCACACGGGCGCGAGTACGGTTAAAGTCTATAACACTAGCCGATGAGTATATACGCGTTGCCATCTCTAAGAGTGATGCATCGTAAGCCTGTAACCACCGCTTCTGTCTTTTGGTGTGGGACTACATGTAGCTCATCGCCTTCGCCCGCCTCCTTTTCCACGGTGAAAATGACCAAAATACGTGTGTTACTGTTCCTACTAGTAGAACACTGATTTAAGGGCCACAAGCACCGAGTATTCCGAAAATGGCGGTTCATATATTTTCTCTCTCTTACGAATGCGAAGGCTGAAGACAATCTTCCCAATGTCGGGCTTCGATGGGCCCAAAAGCTGTCCCGGACACCACATGGGCCTGCCTGCCTGATTCAGTTAGAATGGGAAACGCCAGCCCGACGGCCCAGTTCCCTGCAGCCGTTGCCTCTGGCGCCGCGCGCGCCCACCCTACCTCCCAATTCGCAACCTCCCGCCTCTTTTGTCCCCCGCACCGCGCGGCCAAACAAAACCCTAGACCCTCCCATCCCCATTGGTCCGGACCCGCCACTACCCCGACCCCTCTCAGACTCTCAGTCGCGACGGTCGGAGTCGGAGGGCGGCGACGGGCCGACGGCGTATGTAAGGTACGCTGCGCTGCGATCTCCCCGCCCCTACCACCTCTTTTGGTCCATCTCGGAATCCACAGAAATGGTCCCCCGTTTCTCTATGAACCCTAACCCCCCTAATCCCGACGGAGAGCAAGTGCATCCCACTCGCCCCTGCCCCGGTTGGACCAAGCTCGTGTTGGTGGGCAACACTGGATTTGGTCTTTCATGGTTGGGGGCGTTTCGGGGAGGTACTGTGCAGGAAAACGCAACTTCCCCCTTTCGCTGATATCTCCTGTCCATATGTGCTTGTGCTCTGTTTTGTCTTTTCTCTCCCTTTTTTCCTAATAAATAAATAAATAAATAACATCTTCTTCCTTCAGTTCACCACCTGCTCGGTGGCTATAGCATTTAGTTATCTTGCAGTTACCGCATCTTTTAATCTGTGTGCTTATAAGTGCAGAATCGAAAGCCGCAGCCCATTGCAGTAGTTGTTTGTTTTTGTGTGATAGATTGGCGTATCTGAATATTCCTGGGAACCGCCGTTGAGTTGGGTTAATGACGAATTTTTTAATCTACAATAAATGGAATTGCTCTTTTAATTCCTCCCATTCATTTCATTTCATTTCCAGGAACCCAACTGAACCTACGACGTGCTTGTTCTGGGAGATCTCTTGCCTACTGTGAGCGAGCGAGTTGTCCCGGAACAGCTGGCTGCTCACAATGGGGACGCTTTCAATGTCCGATGCTATTCCTGACAAGAACTGGGATGCTTCCCCTGTTAAGTTTGAGGCTAACGATGGTGACGCACGGGATGCTTCCCCTATTAAGTTTGAGGCTAAAGGTGTTGACACAATCCCCGTCCTTAAGGAGGAAGAGCGGCTATTGGAGCCTGTGAATGATGAGCCGGCTGATGGAATCTTGGATTCGTTACCAATTGACCTGGAGGCCAAGAATGGCAATGCGTCCCTCCTCACTGAAGCGATGAAAAAGGAGGAGGAGCAGCTTGAAGACACCCGGCTCAAGGCGGAGGAAGAAGAGGAAGCCAGGAAGAGGGAGGCGGCTGCAAGACTCGCTTTTGATCCTGAGACACGGTATAACAAGTTAGATGAGCTGCTGTCGCAGACACAACTCTATTCGGAGTTTCTACTTGAGAACATGGATCGAATTGCTGAAGTATGGAAGTCCCACTGTCTTGATATGTTTTTCATTCTTATACTGTTTTGTTTCTTTTGCTGACGATAGTGGTGTTGCCTGGTTGTTAAACAGGAAAGTGTTGAGACTCAAGCTGAAGAACCACAGGTAGAAGAGAAGAAGAAAGGGCATGGCCGGAAGAGGAAAGCAAAGCCAGTGTACAATGATGTGAGCGCAGATTCATACATTGTTCTGTCTTTTGTAGTTTGTTATATGTGTTGTCTGCAGTTTTGGATCATCAGGTTTTATCATACCTACCTTACTAAAATACTATATGCCTACCCCAACTTGTTTGGGACTTAAAGGCTTTGTTGTTGTTGTTGTTGTCTGCATATCTTGATTCACTAGTAGTAATCATCTGACGATGTTGGACTTAAAAAAAAAAACTGGACCTACGGGGGAAGCCATCCCCCGGGCATTGCATTAAGAAGAAGAACCTTCTCACGCAGGTCCAGAAAACCCCCGAACCCCTGCCCCACCCATACACAGCGGCACCGTACCCCTGTGAGAACAGGGCCGTTCCTTAGACCTGTGCTTTGGCGTAGGACAGACGAGGGGATTTTTTTAACCCTAGCCTGAAATTCGCTCCCGCGGGGAGTTGAACCCAGGACCTGAGGAGTGCCGCTGGGACGCTCTAACCAGTTGGACTAGAGGCCCTTTGGCACGATGTTGGACTTATGCTTAGGATGTTGCTGTTGCTCATCATTTTAGGTGTAGCCTTGTTCTGCTGTAGTTAATAAACTCAGAAATTATTAGTTGAAAAGGTTGTTCAAAGGTGGGTGAAACTTGAACCCAGTTGCATTCCTCAGTAAGAGTCAGGATATGAGGATAATGTTCCATGGTTTGTTTGAGTTGTTGGCATCTACTGATCAAGTGGCTATATGATTATGAAACTTATACTCAAATATTTCTGAGGGTCATATTCAAGTTAGTATATAAGGAAAAAATGTTGATAAATAATTGTTCTAATGGATCAAATGTTATGTTAAGTTTTTATTAGTTCTGACAACAAACAACTAAATCACTCTGCAGAAGAAGGCTAAGACGGCAGTGGCTGCCATGCTTACAAGGTCTCGCGAAGATCGTCTTGCGGAAGATTGTACTCTCTCGGAAGAAGAAAGGTGGGAAAAAGAGCAGGCCAATCTTGTGCCGTTATTGACTGGTGGAAAGTTGAAGTCATACCAGATAAAGGGTGTCAAATGGCTTATATCATTGTGGCAGAATGGGCTAAATGGAATACTGGCTGATCAAATGGGCCTTGGGAAAACCATCCAGACAATTGGATTTCTTGCTCATCTGAAAGGGAAAGGCATGCATGGTCCATACTTGATAATTGCTCCTCTATCCACTCTCTCAAACTGGGTGAATGAAATCTCAAGGTAACCATCCAAAGTATTTGTTCACTGTCCATATCATTGACTTTCTAATGCCACTACACGTGATTTCAGGTTTACTCCATCTCTTGCTAATATCATATATCATGGAGATAAGGCGGCCCGGGCAGAGATCCGAAGAAAATTTATGCCCAAAAATGCTGGTCCTGATTTTCCGATAGTAGTGACTTCATATGAGATGGCCATGTATGATGCTAAATTTCTTGCTGTCCATAAGTGGAAGTATGTTGTTGTGGATGAGGTGATGGAAAAACATATTCCCTAAATTATCACCCTTTTGTTGTTTTTTCCTTTTTTTTTATTTACAAGTCAGTTCCATATTTCTTTCTCCAGGGGCATCGTCTAAAAAATTCTAAGTGTCTATTATTGAGGGAGCTGAAGCGCATACCAATGGATAATAAGCTCCTTTTGACTGGAACACCCCTGCAGAATAATCTAGCAGAGCTCTGGTCACTATTGAACTTCATTTTGCCTGATATATTCTCGTCACATCAAGAATTTGAGTCATGGTATAGTTCACTGTTCACCCATGCTTTCCTATTTGCCCCTTTCAATATTTTATTCATGTTACTCAAGTCGTACTTGCAACTCATCACTGAAGTGCAATAAATATATACTAGAAGCATATATTGTGTTCATCAGTGGCCAATTGCCATCTTAACGTAAATGTCTTATATGTAGGTCCTAATCATAAGTTAATGATACATTCCTATGTAGGATTGGGGCAACTTTTATGTAGGCTTTCTCTGCCCATGGACCATATCTTATCTTCATAATTTAGCATGCACCGTTAAAGCATCATGATTTGTTAAAATTACTGAAGTGCAGTATCATTTCCATCACCATATATTGCATCCATAAATTCTGTAATTGAACAATGATTATGGTACTCATGAAACAAACATTCTTGAGGCTAAATGTATTATGAAGCTGGAGTACTGGTGATTATAACCTGTAGGTCCTTCCTTTCCTACTTAAACGTGAAGTTTTCTGGCTATATGCATGTTCTAGCAGGAATGCAAGTATGTGGAATAGTAAATATGTGTATTGCTGATTTACATTGTAGATGCATATCAGGATGTCATATAAGTTGAACATTAGCAGCAATTTATATTGTATTATTTGCTCAGTTATATTCTGTTTAATTTCTAAAATGTTTTACATATTTGGACACTATAACTTGTGGGCTATTTCTGTTAAATATTCCATGCGTTAGATTTGATTTGTCTTGCCTTTGTTGTGCTGACATGTATCTTCTTTCAAGGTTTGATTTTTCTGGGAAAGGAAATGGAGAAAAAGGTGAAGAAACTGATGAGAAGAAAAAGCTGCATGTTGTTTCAAAGCTTCATGCTATTTTGCGTCCATTCCTTCTAAGGCGGATGAAGGAGGATGTGGAACAGATGCTTCCACGAAAGAAAGAGATAATCATTTATGCCAACATGACTGAACATCAGAAGCAAATCCAGCGTCACTTGGTTGAAAAAACATTTGACAACTACTTGAATGAGGAATCAGATATTAGTATGCTGTCATAATAATGCGCACATATTTCTGTAGACTTGTAGTAATCCAGTACACCAGTATGTTCCTAGGTTAATAACCAAAGCTGGCCTCTTTTTTTGTCATACTGCAGTCTTGAAGAGACCTGGCATTAAGGCAAGGTTGCATAATCTAATGATTCAGCTGAGGAAGAACTGCAACCATCCTGATCTTTTGGAAGCTCAAGTTGATTCAACAGGTTTGCCCCATTTTGGCCAGTGCCTGGCTGTTATCTACTGCTTTTATGTGCTTCTCTCCTGACCTCTTTGTACTGTGGATTTTTTTGTTTTATATGTTGCAGGTTTATATCCACCTGTTGAGAAGATCCTGGAACAATGTGGTAAATTCCAACTTTTTGACAGGTTACTAAATTACCTGATTGCACAAAATCACAAGGTATATGGTTTTCTCTAGTCCCTGTATCGGATATGCACACACTAGTTCAGGTCTGCTTCTTTTATATATCATCTCAACTGTATTTCTATTTGTAGGTTCTAGTATTTTCGCAATGGACAAAAGTGTTGGACATTATTGAATATTACCTTGATTCAAAAGGCCATGATGTTTGCCGAATTGATGGTAGTGTAAAATTGGAAGAAAGGAGGAGGCAGGTAATGTCGTAGTCTGTGTCAGTATGTTATTACTAGTATACTTTACAACATCTATGTGACAGGAAGTTGAACCCTCCTTGGCTTTGTACTTTTGGCTTTTAGTGATTGCACACTTTACTTCCATGATTGTTTGCATGAACGGGAATTTGGCACATGATAACATGTGCTCAGCTACATCTTAACTGCGAGGCATGTTTTAGATGTAGATTGAGAACATACAACTTAAAGCCCTCAAAACATAAATTTTTAGGATCAGGGTACATTGTAATACTCCAAGTCTTCATGTCATTGTCTGTTTATTGAAGTTGTATTGGAGGGTTGTCATGCACTCATGCCCCACCAGAAAATTATTTATTCTGTCAGTACACCAATCCATCATGATTCGTGCAGTGATGCATGCAACTTGGAAACACATTGCTATTTGTTACAGTATTCATTGTTCTAAAAGCTAAAAGACCGTCATTATAAGATGTGCTCTGCAACACTTTTGTACATCTTCAGTGACGGAAATAATCTTGTTCCATTGAAGTACTTGATGTTTGTCTTTTATTACCATTTCTTCACAGGTTTGTTTGCGTATTTCTTATGGCAGATAGCAGAATTCAATGACTTGAATAGCAGTATGCGTATCTTCCTCCTGAGCACAAGGGCTGGTGGACTTGGGATCAACCTTACTTCTGCTGATACCTGTATCCTATATGACAGTGACTGGGTAATTATCTTTGATAATCCGTGGGGTATAAATGTCCGTCTGCTAAAATGTCTGTTATTATAGGATGTGTATCTATTCTCATTGTGGTTGTTTATGTACGTCCAGTTGCCCATGATGATATTTCTAACACGCTGAATTTTACTACTCCAGAATCCTCAGATGGATTTGCAGGCTATGGATCGATGCCACCGGATTGGCCAAACACGCCCAGTGCATGTATATAGGCTGGCTACATCACATTCTGTTGAGGTGTGGTTTGATGATATCAGTCATCTTTAGAGTTCGAACATGTTGCTTTGGTTAAAATCATGTAGTGGATATATAGGTTTACTCATCATCTCATCATTGCAGGGACGGATCATTAAGAAAGCTTTTGGGAAGTTGAAGCTAGAGCATGTGGTGATCGGCAAGGGACAGTTTGAACAAGAGAGAGCTAAGCCTAATGTCTTAAATGTAATAGCTCAGACGCATCCCGAGCTGCTCTAGCATAATACTAGATAGTAGTAACAGAACACCAAAAAAAAATATATATATATATATATTAGATAACAAATGTCGACAAAATGAATGCCGGTTCACCAGGGAGGTTAGGTTTTCTGTCGCTGACGTGCTTCCTTTCTTTTGTTGTGGGAACGCAGGAGGGCGAGCTGCTGGCGCTTCTCAAGGACGAGCAGGACGAGGAAGACAGGAAGATCCAGACCGACATCAGCGACGAGGACCTCCTGAAGCTGATGGACCGGAGCGACCTATCGGGCCCACCTGGCGGCGCTAACGCCGCATCTCTTGTCCCGCTGAAAGGCCCAGGCTGGGAGGTGGTGGTGCCGACCAAGAGTGGCGGTGGCATGCTCTCGTCGCTCACCAGCTGAGTGGTCGTTGCTACGGTTCCTATCTGTTTTAGTTGGTTGCGCTTTTGCTTGCCCCGTGCCTTGGCGTTCTGGCAGACTTTGAGGTAGTTGCTGGCGGCTGTCGAGGCGATGTTTTGGATGTATGGGGTGTGCTGTGAGTTGTGACTCGAACCGCATGCTGCACTTCGTTTGCTGCTTCGTTCTGCAGCGGCTGCAGCTGTCGTGGACCGTGCAGGGCGAAGCTGGGTGCTTTGCTGGGCATGGCGTAATGTATATAATGTTGACAGCTTGGTTCTTCAGCAGAGAACTCCAGTGGTGTTTTGCTGTTTGCACGCAGGGTGCAGACAAACGGTACAGTACAAGAGGTCGTTGCAGATTTTGCAGCAGAGTATGGTACAAGAGGCGGCTCAACTCGCAAGTCGCAAGGCTAGTTAATCCAGCAGACATGGACAAGTCGGTTTGCCACTCGTCTCCGTCCGTGATACGATGCGATCCTCCGTGGCTATGCAGCAGCGACAGTCTCGACTATATCTCAACAAACACCACTTCATCAGCACTCAAGGTGTCTTATTATGCTATTATTATGGCACGCACCAGCACCACCGTGGATCAACAGTAACTGAACGAACGCCCGTGTTTTTGCTGTGCATACGTGACAAAGATCGGTTCCTGGTTTTCTATACGCGACAAGAGGGGGAGGGGGGAGAAAACGAATGTCGCAACAAGCTGACCTCTATTGTTGACTAGCTAGTCTTGATGGCAGCAGCCCCAGCCCATAAGCATCCACACCCAGCCAGCCTGCTTGTGCCATGCATGCCAGTGACAGTGAGGCAGTGACTTGCTGGCTGGTGATTACCAAGGTGCAGTGGAGAGCAGCGGCGGAGCGGCCCGCACGGCACGCGCGCGTACGTGCGGCGTGCGTGACGCGCTACGCGACGTACACACCGAGCCGAGACCATCGCGGGTGGTGGTGCGTGGTGGTGGAGGGATCGGTGGATCGGTCAAGGCCCCGCGCGCCGAGACGTTCCGTGCGCCGCCACGTAGCCCCCCTGGCCCCTGCCAGGGCTTCAAATACCCGACCCAGGCCGTCCGTCCACTCGCCCACCATTTCCGCTCCGTCCCCGGTCGAAACCGACGAGCACGGCAGCAGCCCGCAGCCCTCCTTCGCTCCGCTAGTCTCGGCGGCTCCAACAACACCCATCCATTCCGACCAACCATCGTCATGGCGAGGCTGGCGACGGTGGTGGTGCTCGCGGTCCTCCTGCTGGCGGCGGCGTCTTCGGCCCCCGTGGCCAGCGCCGCGCGGGACGACCCGGCGGCGGCGGCGGCCGTCTCATCTTCTCATGACCAGGTACGTTCGTGTGTGTGCGCGTAACGACGTGCGGCGTACGCCCATCTTCTCTGTCTCCGGTGGCGGTCTCGATGGATCGTGGGGTTTCTCTGACCGTTCGGTTTCCGGCTTGGCTGCAGAAGCAGGGATCGGCGGCGCCGGCGGAAGGCGGGTGCGAGGGCGCCAACGACGAGGACGAGTGCATGATGAGGCGCACGCTGAACGCGCACACCGACTACATCTACACCCAGCAGCACCACAACTGATGATCCATCCATCCTTAGGCTACTATATACGACATGCGTTGCTCCGTGCTCGTGTTCTTTCTTTGTTTCCGTCCGTGGTGTGTGAACACTGTGCATGGTGCGTTACCTGCGTGTCAATAATAACAGTTTCGAATTTTTCCCATATCACCGCGATCCATCGTTCCATCCTAGCTCGAGGATCGCTTCGCTGAGAAGAAAGTGGAAAAGTATTGTTCGCTGATTCGTTTTGAGAGAAAAAACGTTATTCCATGGCTGAAAAAGTTCGGCTCAGAAGAGAAGCGAACAGCGCGATATGCCTGAACTCATGTGTGTATGTCCGGATTCAGAAAAGTTTCAGTATCGTTCATGAAACTTTGAGAACGCATGAAATTCGCATGCCATGCTGCATTGGATTTGTCACAGTTACAACGTCGTGCAGTATCTCTGCTAATCAATTCCCCTTCAGGGTCTGAAGCACCGGAGGAGCTCTTGCTCCGCTCAGTAGATCGTCAATATCTTGCACCCGTTCAATCATGTGTGCTCAAACAGTGAATCCCATGAATCGTAAAAACTTCTTTACTGGCCTTCGATCGACCAGAAGAAATAAAATTCAGTTAAATACTGCAGCAATATAAATCTCCAGCACATCATTATACGGTTCAAAATATACATACTCCAATATACTGTATAGCAAGTAAAAAAACTGCTGATGCATCCATCAGCAGTTCTACACATTCCAGACGCCTGATCTGGCATGTCCAGGGATGACTTCCTGACAGACGCAACAGGTCAAACAACAGCCGCCAGATTTTGTCCGGATCTTCTCAGACACCGTGACAGAGCGAGCCATTGACCTTGCTGCTATATATGTATCCAGGAGAGGGCCAGATCAGCAGTAGTATTGTATAGGCATGCACGAAGTTGACGACAACACCGTACCTGCCCATGGATTGCGCTGCAATCATGCTGTCATGCAGAAGATAAGCATGACATATCTCTAGAACTTCTGTTCATTTCATTCAAGTACAAATAAGGCTGGACGAAAAACTCGAAGCTCGTTAGCTCGCTCGGCTCGTGGCTGGCTCGACTCGGCTCGGCTCGGCTCGTTATGATAACGAGCCGAGCCGAGCCAAGATTTTAGCTCGTTAGCTTATAATGAGCTAACTCGAGCCAGCTCGCGAGCCGCTCGCGAGCTAAACGAGCCAAGCTTTCAGAAAAAAGTATCAAAACTTATATAAGTTTTTGTATTACTTCATGTCTTGCACTTTACAATTGACTGGTAACTGGTCTAGACCCTATAAATTGACTGGTAACTGGTCTAGATGCATTTCTTTTGTATTATTATTATTCTCAAACTTTAGATAAATACAAATATTATATTTTGTGTATTTTTTATACCTGACTCGCGAGCTTAACGAGCCAGTTCGAGCTTTTAACGAGCCAAGCCGAGCTAGCTTTCTGGCTCGTTAGAATAACGAGCCGAGCTGAGCTAGCTCGTTATCTTAACGAGCCAGAACGAGCCAAGCCAGAACGAGCCGAGCCGGCTGGTTATCCAACCTTAAGTACAAAGATTTGGAAACAACTTATGTGTTTCATTGATCTCATAGAATATATACAACTGAAGGGGTGTGTCCAAATGACACAACTGACAGGAGACGTTATATCTCGTCACCAAGAGACATGCCCCTTCGGTGATACAATTAAGTGTAAATCTAATCTCTAATCCTATCTCTAACTGCACGTCTAATTGGATGAGATCACCGACGAATAGGTGTCTGCTGGCAGGCACCGTTTCGTAACACTCCCCCTTGATCGAATCTTCTTTGAGATCAATGCAGCTGTATGCTTGAATTCCTCGGAAAACCCTATGGGAAAAATTTGAGGAATATGTATGTATAGATATGCTAAAAAACTCTTTTAAACCTTATAGGAAAATAAGGAGAAAATAGCATATATGAGTGTGATTTAAACAAATCATTATGTCATTGGTATCCCATTAAAAACCCCAGTGAGGAAAAATATTGGAGATACGACATATAGATTACTCCCGAAAAACCATTTCAGGAAAAACATGAGGAGCAATATAAAGTGATATGTTGCTAAAACTCCTGTAAAAACCCAGTGGGAAAATTAGGAGAAAATATGATGACATATTATTGGTATTGCCTCTTGGATAACTCACATGAAAAACCTTTTCAGGGGAAAACCATGGATGAGTTGTGAGGGCAATATGTGTCTTTGATATTTCCCACAAAAACCCGGTGGGGAAAATAGGAAATATGACACATGCTTATGTTAATATTACCTCATTAAAAACTTTAACAAGAAACCTTATAAGTAAAACTTGTGAAAGAAAAGAGTATAATATGATGCTGGCACAGGTCAATATTTAAGAGATGTCTCCCCCTGATTCTGATAAATCTCGAAGTCGCCACATACCAATTCCATGTACCAATTTTTGAAACACAGAAGTTTGTAAGGACTTAGTAAATAGGTCAGCGAGATTATCACATGACTTGATTTGTAAGATGTTTATTTCCCTGCTTTCTTGTAATTCATGGGGATAAAACAGTTTAGGAACAATATGCTTAGTGATATTGCTCTTTATGTAACCTGTTTGCATCTATGTAACACAAGCGGAATTATCTTCATAGATAATTGTAGGTGATTCAATTGAACCAATACCACATGACTGTTGTATGCGGTTAATCATTCTGCGAAACCATACACATTCTCGTGATGCCTCGTATAGAGCAATAATTTCAGAATGATTAGTAGAAGTCACTGTCAGAGTCTGCTTAGAAGACTTCCATGAAATAGCTGTACCTCCATGTAGGAATACAAATCCTATTTGGGATTTTCCGTTATGAGGATCAGATAAGTAACCTGCATCAATATAACCAATCATACTGGGATCATGATTTTTCTTGAAGAATAAACCAAGATCCTTTGTGCCATTAAGGTATCTGAGGATCCACTTCGCTCCCGTCCAATGACGGCGAGTTGGGTCCGCACTATGCCTAGCCAGTAAGTTCACTGCAAATGCGATATCAGGCCTGGTGCAATTTGCAAGATACATAAGTGCGCCAATGACACTGAGATATGAGATTCTGGTCCCAACACCTTTTCCCCACTATCCCGTGGTCTAAATGGATCTTTCCCTATTTCTAAAGAACGAACAACCATCGGAGTTTTATTAGGGTATGATTTATCCATATTGAATTTCTCAAATATTTTCTGGATATAGGCTGATTGATGCACTAAAATCCTTGAAGGACAGTGCTCAAGTTGTAAGCCTAGATAATACTTGGTCTTACCCAAATCCTTCATCTCGAATTCCGTCTTTAGATGTTTGCGTGCTTCTTCTATATCCTTTGGGCTGCCAATGATATTTAAATCATTAACATACACGGATATAATACAAAATCCCGTTCGAGATTTCTTAATGAAAACACATGGGCAATCATCATCGTTAGTGTATCCTTTCTTTAGAAGGAATTCACTCAGTCGGTTGTACCGCATTCGTCCCGACTGCTTCAAGCCATATAATGACTTTTGTAGTTTTACACAATACATGTTGCGATTTGCGTTTGGATTCGGAATTTGGATTCCATCAGGAACCTTTATGTATATGTCCGAATCAAGTGACCCATATAGATATGCTGTCACCACATCCATCAACTACATAGATAGATGATTTTGAACTGCCAATGATATTAAGTATGGAAAAGTAATTTCACTCATTACTAGAGAATAGGTTTCATTGTTATCAATGTCGGGTCTCTGCATGAACCCTTGTGCTACTAGCCTCGCTTTATATCTCACCACCTCATTGTTCTCATTCCATTTCCGGACGAAAACCCATTTAAAGCCTACAGGAAAGACTTTAGAAGGTGTAGGTATTGCAGATGTGAATACCCCTCTTCTAGTGAGCGAGGCTATCTCAGCTTGAATTGCTTCTTTCCATTGAGCCTAGTCTAAGTGCTTTTTGCACTCTGCCATGGTCTTGGGATCTGGATCATTGAGAAAGATTTCTGCAATTGCTGCGGAGAAGTACATGTCGACAACAGTAGTCTTACCGTATGATTCTCCAGAATCTATGTAATTGATGGAAATTTCTTTCACCCCATTATTTGACTCAACATTTCCCAAAACCATGGAGTCAGGGTGTTCCGATATCCCAGGATCAGAATTTGGATGCACCGTTGATTCGGGTTGTGGATTTGGTCCTGGTGTTGGATTTTTATCTACTATTAGGTGTCTACCAAGTTAAGGTTGGTTTGGATTTACTGATTTGGATGATTTAGCCCTCGATATCCTCAGACGCTTACTTGGATCATTATCCTTAGGAGCGGCTGTACTTCTCCCTCTCTTCTTTGGAAGTGGGAGTTGAATGGTTTTTATTGGTACCTCCACTCTTTCGGGCGCATTGCGAGCATGATAAGAGGATTTAGTGACACCCTTATAATCAGTAAATGCTTCTGGCAGGTTATTTGCAATATGTGGCAAGTTTATGATTTTCTGAACTTGTTGTTCAGTATTTAGAGTACGTGGATCTGAGGGAGAATGCCTTGGGCATTCCAGATGATTTTCTAGCATTCATTTTGGTACTTGAAGTCTCCTCCTAATGCCGGGAAATGGTCCTCATTAAATATGGAGTCAGCGTATCGGGCCGTGAATAAGTCCCCTATAAGAGGCTCGAGGTATTTGATAATTGATGGAGATGAATATCCCACATAGATACCAAGTTTCCTATGTGGGCCCATAGAGGTACGTTTAAGCAGTGAGATCGGTACGTATACAGTACAACCGAATTTTTGCAGATAGAAAATATTTGGCATATTCCCACGTACTAATTGCAATGGGGAGACTGCGTGATATACAGTTGGTCGCAATTGAATTAAGTCAACAGCGTGTAAGACTGCATGCCCCCAACATGAAGTTGCTAGGTTGCAATTTTGTAATAACGGTCTTGCAATGAGTTTAATTCTCTTAATAAGATATTCTGCTAAACCATTTTA